GTTTCAAGTAGTTATAGATTATAGATAATAGATCAGACTACATTTCAATGTTGGATAATTTTTGGCGACGAACTTTTCTATGATGTAATGTGGAAATATTGTGTAGAAAATGAATATAAATAAGATGGATTCGGAACTTCAGCTTTAATGCAGAAGCACAGAAGATGACTCAGGCACCAGCGAGACAGGGACTAACATACGAATTCTTTTCACTTTTAATAAAATTATGTCCAAATCATCACAACTATATACTAACAGATGTACCTGTTGCACCCAAGGGATGTCCAATAGCCATGGCACCTCCATTGACATTGATCTTTTCAGGATCGAGCTCAAGTTTCTTACGGCAGTATACATATTGGGAAGCAAATGCCTGCAGTTTATCAATAATGAAATGCTGACATTCTTTCTTAAAAGAAGTCTAATGTCCTCTTATTTCTGTTTCCTTTCTATGTGGATAACAGGAAAAAAAAAAAAGAAAGTACCTCATTTATCTCGAAAAGATCAATATCCCCGAGTTCAAGACCAGCAGTTTTTACCGCAGCTGGAATAGCAACAGCTGGACCAATGCCCATGACTGCAGGATCCACACCAACGGCAGCAAAGCTCCTGCACGGCACATAGAAGAAGATTTTTCATACCGACTAAAATCAGCTTTCTATCTATAGACAGAAAATTAGTAGTAGTACCATAGAGTGCTCAATAGATTATCGATACAACTGAAGCAGTGCTATTTCTACATATGCAGCCAGCATGTAGAGACTTTGCAACAATTGACTAATTATCTAGAGATTTGTCATTGCAGCATTAAGTTCTGGAATGATAAGTTACCGCAACTATACTTATAGATTAAAAGTCAGTCCAGAACCTATAGCCAAAGTAGATAGTTCATTCATGATTATAGCAGGGCAATGAACCTCAACATGTTATTCATGGAAATAGACAGACAGGGGATTTAAAATATGTACAGCAACTTGTGCATAAACTAGTTTTTTCCAAGTACACAAATGTAAGATTCATTTCATGTATTTTTAAGAACCTGAATACACCAAGAATAGGGAGCCCCTTCTGCATGGCAACACTTCTCTTCATGAGAAGCACAGCTCCAGCACCATCACTCACTTGGCTAGAATTCCCTGAGGTGAAGAGTAGACATATAGGTATAGGCAAATTATGCTTCCAAAAAAAAATTCAGATGCGACAGTTCTACTTACCAGCAGTGGTTGATCCATCTTTCTTGAAAACTGCTTTCAGCTTGCCCAGTTCTGCCACTGAAGTGTTTGGACGGATTCCATCATCAATGGATAGTGTCACCAACTTCTCATCCCCAGATTTAGGGTCCACAATCTTTACATTATCCGGAGAAGAGGAGAAAATATAAACTCATGTGAAGAGAAAAGGAAGTAGAAGTACAATAAATTCAAATCTGAAACTCTCCTGGTACCTTGGTTTGAACTGGTATTATCTCATCTTTAAATTTGCCTGACGCAGTGGCAGCAGCAGCTTTCTTGTGCGACTCAACCTGAAAAGGTAGTTAGGAAGGACGTCAACATGCAACTTCATTTTTTAAGATTCTGTCAAGCAGATCATTTATAACTTACTGCAGCCTGATCTTGTTCCTGCCTTGTTACTCCAAAACGATGAGCGACATTTTCTGAAGTGATACCCATTGGAAGGAGACAATCTTGTGCTTGAACCATTGTCTTCACCTGGGAATTTTTTTTGTTGAATGCTATTAACAATCACCAACTGAACTGTTGCCAGAGCCAATAAAAATTCAAATACAGTGCAGAAAATGAGGTTACCCTTGGATTGACTGATCCTTCCCAAGCCATAGGATTAACAGTCATCGACTCTAACCCAGCACCAATTCCTAGTTCAGAAAGGAAGTGTCATCAGTGATTCAAACTACCTACCCTCATTTTTTTTCGTGGTGCAGAAGTATAGACAACTTAGATTTTATACCAATGTCATAAAACCCAGCTTTGATAGCTGCAGCAACATCGGCTACAGCTTGCAGACCTGATGAACATTGCCTGTTCACGGTTCTAACAGGTACAGTTTCTGCATGCCGAACAGTAAAATGAGAAATCAAAAGTTCTTATGCCAAAGAAAAGGTGACGAATAACGAAAGCTCTCAGAATATACCAGGGAAACCAGCATAAAATGCAGCCATTCTGCATTCACTTGCTCTTTGGGAACCCGGTGCCAAAACCGTGCCCACAACAATGTCCCCAACTTCA